TATCCTTCTCTGAATTGTTCATGTTCTAATTTTTTTTTGGCTCTCTTTTTGCATGACTATATGATGTAGCTTCAAAATTGAGTTTTTGGTTTGGGATACATATCCCATGTTCATAGATTTTCGTCAATGTAGGCGCAACATGTTCAATCAAGATTCCTCCGGTTTGGTCGTGGAAGCTTGATTTTTGTTCGATTCCGATTTTGTTGGCCACATTTGTTTCTTCGTTGAGCAGGGTTGCTCCAACCTTTAGGTACATGATGTACATGAAAGCCACTCTTGGAGCTGGGGCGTCGAGGGAGCCAAGTGGATATATATATATATAGATTCTGGGTAAATTATAACGACCTTACTCCGACCTCACTGGAAATCATGGTTAGTAAGGAACATCATCCCCAAATGGGCCTTAATTCAGGTTGGTGAAATATTATAATTTACCCAGATATATACATATATGATATATGTATATATATGTATATATATAAATATGTATATAGATATACATATATATATATATGTATAAAGATATACATATACATATATATCTAGATATATAGATAGTAGATATATAGATGTATAGATATATAAATATATATAGATACTATATATATATATATAATTATAGATATCTATTCCCTGGACTGCTCCAGTGGATTTCACCAGGACATAAAAATGGCTGACCAAGTCCTGCCAAGTGCTGGCCCCCTGCCTGAAAGGACAGACTGCGGTAGAGTAAATGGGTTGGTAATGGAAGGGATTTCAACCCAATGAGTAAAAAACAATCCACAATTCTGCCAGAAATGGCAGGTTTTATGGCAGTGCGTTTAAGGCATTCGCATATTGAAACGAACATCACCATTTCGAGAGCTGAAAGTCGGACATCATCCGGAACTCATGTTTGTTTGCACTATTGTTGCTAATCTCCAAGCTTCCTTCTTTAATCTCCCCATGAGATTTCCAGAGCCAGCACTGGTGTCAAAGGAAAGGGGCCCAGGATGGCCAACCACGTCGGGCTAGACACCAAACATCACCAGAAAATCTGGGATAGGACCATCAAAAAAGGTTGGATGCAGTCATCAAAACACATGTTGTCACCATCAACATCTGGGATTCAAACAGTAAAAATGAGGAACTTGACCCGCAAATGACTGAGATGTATCCAGAAAATTTGCGGATATGTCAACCCAGCAGACTTTGTTTTGGGTGCTCCGCCCTGCGCTTTTCGGGAGGAGGTCTATCAGCATTGAAGCGGAGCCTAGGGTCATGTGGGCAGGCACAGATTCTATCAGTAGTTTCATCGGGACAAACGGGGAAAGCAGTCGTGCTCTCTATTTGTATGTTTGTTACTGTCGTTAATTTGTTTGCTTGTTTGCTTGTTTGTTTGCTCATAATATCTTGAGTGCGAAAGAGGACATAGTGGTGGTTGATCAACATAAGATTTGCCCTTGGGTTCTTGACCAACAATACTACTGGTCATTGATTATTAGGCCATAAATCCATAAATCATAGGCATTAAAAGTTATGAGCACCTCCATGTGGCTGTGCCAGCATGGTACCCACATGGCACTCATGGGGAAAGAACATGGACTGATCACCCCCCATGACTTACTGGTGCTAAGTGCGTTTTTACGTAGGGAACTTTCGGGAATGATCCACTGGCGAACTATCAAGAATCCCAGCAACCCCCAGCATCCCATCCATTCCCTACGTAAAACGCACCAGGAAGTATTGACCCATTGATATTGATGGAATATGGATTTATCTATGGAAAATAATGATGTATATCTATATTCTATGGTATACCCTAAGTTAATAGGACTTAATTTACACATTACTTGGGGGTCATCATTCGATGGCTTCCCTACTACCCTACCCTGAAAATCTATCCGTGAGGTCGCAGAAATGCGCCGGACGTCTGCCCAGTCATCATGATGGCATCTTCATCGTATCCCTGTTTCTCATATATCCTCATCAGATGGGATTATAACCTATAAACTATATATATATGATATATATATATATATCCATTATATATGTATATACTATATATATATTATCCCCAGAGCACTCCCATATATCTCATGATATTCATCATATCCACCATATTCCCTGGAGGATTTTTGCCATCCGCTGCATCGAAGCCAACCGAGGCCTCACGAGGTTCCGGCTGCCGCCCCGCTGGCCGCACGAGGAGGTGAAGAGGGCGTGGTTCGGTTCGGCCAGGGGTCGAAAAGAAGAAGAAATGGGGGGTGTATGTGGATTTACTACTCTTAGTATATTGTAATGGTCATAGAAATGATTCAATTTATTGACATTTGACATTGTTTTTAATAACTATGTCATAATTGACATGGTCATTTTTGGATTTACTATGGATTTAACTACTGTTGGTGGTGGTTCAATATGGTTTATGATTGGTTTCAATATGGTTTACTCACATTCATGTGATTAAACATAAGGGTAACGATGGGGATAAAGACATAATAATAGTGGGGGTAATAACTGACAATCATGAGAATATATAGACGTATGCCCTCAGAAATTTGGGGATGGGTCAAATCATCCAAGTCATTAGACCATTTTAGTATTGACACCTAGGTGACTTGGGGATCCCCCATGACTTAAGAAACCACCATATGTGGATGGGTCAAAACCTATGAAAGTACCATATGACTGAGGGAATACGCATCCATTCACCAGCTAGTTTAGCGTACCTAGGGTACCAGGGTTTTGACTCATAGCCATATTACCATCTGGTAATTTGTTACACAAATAGCTATTGAACATGGCCCATTTGTATATGATTTACCTATTAAACCTGGTGATCTTCCGCAACTATTTTAACTTACCAGAGGGTAACATATTGAATTGCTTGAAAACTGGAATGGTTAATATGCCCCTGAAGCCAAGGTTGCCTTTATTTCTGGGTGTCCCCAAGGAGTTAATCGCAATGGGATCTGCGCTTCACCAGATGGTTTTTTCATGTTTTTTCCAGGCGCCGGCTTTCCTTTTGCCTTCTGGCGCTTCGGGAGTTCTGAACGTCGCAAGCACGTCCGGGCCCATGAAATTGGCAGGTGTTCCCCTGCTTGGGAACCACCCCTAATCAGCTGTTTCTTTATCCGACATTGACATCAAAAGAAGGCCATGTCGTTCTATCGAAATGTGGTGGGTGTCCTGCAAACGATCCCTTGGAAATCTGGTTCAGGATCAATACTTGTTGATATAGTGACATATTGTGCTATTTTTGATCAACATTGATAAAACAAATTTGATTGGAATAAAGCAATGTTGATATAATGCCATTGATCAATGCCTCTTTTGGGCCGTAGGCTACGTAGGTGATAACACAGCCATTGATTGAACAGCCATTGATTGGGCCCAAGGAGCGTGACTCGCTGCGGAGCCGCTCCAAAGAAGGTGACTGACGGGAATCCCTGGATCCCTGGCTGGACCAATCATCCAACGAATTACATGACGATTATCACTGGACAAACATGGTTATCAAACTTGGATTATATCATTTAATGATTATATATTGGAAAATGGCTGGGTTTCATGATCAAGCATGGTGATTTGATGGGATATTGATGATGATATTCATTGGGAGATTGCACCAACCAACTTGATATCTGGGTGTGAAAATGGGGTCCCAAGCGCAATTTTCATAGGGAACACGGGAACATGATGATTAGGTTTAGGGGTTTAGGGGCACCCCATTTTCCGAGAAACCCAAATTTAGGGATATGATATGAGCCACAAACAATCGGCCTCGAACCAACAAAACATCAAGCCATACACAAATAATGATGGTACATGAACCATCGAACATGGATGAACCCCATGAAATACGACATCGACCCAGGAAAATTTCACATTCAAGCTTTTGACCGGCCAATCGGGATGTAGCCAAGTGAACTAGATTGCCAGTTTTTGAAAAATGGTTTGTTGGCTGGTCTCCCGAGGGTTTTCAATTCTTCCAAGTTGGGGTTGCCAGTCAGTTCACAGAGACAAGACATTCATGGTTGGGAGCCACTTGCTTGCATCCCCAGTTTGGCTGGTGAAAAGCTGATTATGGTTGTTGATCACGACTTCATCTTTGTTGCTCAAATCACATCTTGTTGTTGCTTCCACCTACATTCCTGCTGCTTAAATCCATCTTTTTCTTGGGTCAATCACACTTCTTGGTGGTTAAATCCGTGTTGTTGTTGACATACCCTCTGGTAATTTAACATAGCTATGGAAAATCACCACTTTTAATAGGTAAATCAACTATAAATGGTCCATTTTCAATAGCTATGTTAGTTTACCAGAGGGTAATCCTCATTTTGCATCTGTTGGAGGGTTGAAACCCTCGTTCTGCTGCAGAAAAAAAACATCCACTTTGGTCGGTCAAAAAAGCAGCTGCGCAGCTGGCTCAAGGGGCTGCGTGGCCCGTGTGGCTCCATAGGTCCCATATGAGGCTTCCCAAAATTGGGGGTACCCCAAGTCACCATGGGTTTCCTAAAATGCTCCAATGACTTCAATGATTTGGGGTATAGGAACCCCCCTTAAAAAAAAGCACATTTTTGGATGTCTGAAAGGACCCCGCCGTACTTTTATGGTAAAGAGATGTGAACACATGGATTTCCTGCATTTTTCTGCGGAACTAGCTCAATGAACGCTTTTGGCCAGGCATAACGACGATAGGTGTGAGATTGGGGGTAACCAAATTTGAGAAACCAGTAGCCGCGGGTCGCAGATTTTCGGTTTATTGAATTGTATTGAATCATTCCGATTATTGTAGGTTCTAGACTCACCAGTTTTTGTTTAGTCCCGTTGCGTATAAATCCCATGTCTGTTGGTGATGTACTCCAGATTGTTGTTGATATCCAGGGTTTCGATCCGGTTGCATTCCTTTTTTTGGGAAATCAAAACTACATATTTGGTCCCTTCGACGATCATTTTGGCGTGGCTTTGTTTTGGGCCCCCAGTTGAAACCATTGAAGCAGGCAGTTTCATCAGCCATGAGGGTAGCATGGCTCTTCACCGCCATCCTCGACTCGCAGCTGTCTTGTGCAACGGAGACCATAGCGATGCTTCAAAGGAGGTCTGTCTCAGAATGGGATTACCCAGAACAAACGGTGAAATGGGGATGGGTCAAAACCCTGGTACCTAGTGAACCCCAAAATAGCTGGTAAATGGATGTTCATCCCACTAAAAATGTATCTATAGGTATTGACCCATACCCAAATAAGAAGCATTTTCTCATGATTTCCCCATGATCAAACCATGATCAATTACCCAATTACCCATGATCAACCATTTCTCAAAAAGGTATGTTTGGATTAATCCATGAGAATTGCCCAATCCATCGCCCATCGCCTTACCGTCTGATGGCTGTAGCATTTTGCTCAGGACCAATGATATGAAAATGGGGTATACCCCCAAATGACAACTTTAAAAGGAAACATGGTGCTTTACCATGAGATTTAGGGGCACCCAATTTTTGGACAAACCCAATGGGTTTCATCGATTTATCCGACAAATGGGTATCCGACTGAAAAGATGGTATCCGAAAAATCCAATGAATTCACACATCATGTTTCACATGATATACCTTATCTAACAGGTAATATGGTATCCCTGGTATCCCAGTCATCATTTTCCAAAGTGAAAAACGGTAGCCCAGTTTCGGCCTGGCCTTTGGTACGATTACTGGGATCATTCCCGGAGGTTATACTACCGTATAGCAACCCTGAAAAAGATAGAGAAACAGTTTTAATTTATCACGAGTCGTACTAAACCCATACTAAACCTTGTTTTTTTTTGTGGGTGTTTAATATGAACAGGGCATGGAATTCGAATGATGGTTAACACCTTGGCATCGCGGGGGCAAGGTCATTGGAGCGTTGCAAACCTCCAACGTTTGACATCCTGGGCCCAGAGCAGCTGACCCCGGACGCACGAGCTGCGAACTTCACGAAAGGCACGGGGGGGGGCCGGAGTAGAGAATCAATGCGCAGGAAGGAATATCATGCATATGCATCTACAGCTACATCTATATATTTTCACATTTTCGTTTCAGCATATATATATATGTATATACATATACATATTATATTAATATTATCATGATTATTTATGCCTATGTGTGTTTGAAACTCATATCTGTACAATACACATAGATATTTCTCATCCGCAGCCCGCCAGGCCTGCGGCTCTTCGGCCTGGAGATCCTTGGCATGTCCGGCGTGCCGCCCGATGCGCTGCTCCACGCGGGCACCGTCGTGGCGGCGTACGTGGACAGCGATGAGGACAGCTGTCCAGACGACCCCTTGGTGAGCCGCAGCATGCGGCAGCAGAACGCCACGCTGGTCATGTTCCGGGACCCCAAGGAGGTGGCAACTGATGGCCAGTTGCAGAAAAGAGATCGGGCCCAAAAGCAACTCATTTCTAGGCAGCCAGACCCATGAATTCCAGTGTCTCCAATTTGCGATGCCGTGTGGTGATAGAGTTTACCCGATGGGACGTCATCTGCCAGGCAGATGCTTGGTTCGACGTGGCTGACCCGTGCTTCCTCCGACCGGAAACTTGCGACCCGGGCTTTGCGAAGTTTCTGCAGTTCCGCTGGCTGCAGGATCTCCGAGATCTGGGGTGGTCAAACCTTGGAGATCTAGCTGAGTGGTCCTGTGATGGTCATGTTCCTCCTTTATTTTGGGACATGAAATCCATTGAAATCCCATATCGAAGCCTTTCTCAAATGTGAGGATCTTTGGGCATCGGTCAAATCAGAACCATCCCAAAATGGATGCTAAAATGACAAGCCTTTTGTGGGCCCAGTGGTAGGTCAACGACTTGACAAGTATATACCTATACAGTTGTATCCTCATAGATTTCCTAAAATGCTGGTGAAACCTTCCATTTTTTGCTGGTGAAATCTCTGCTAGTAACACCACCAATTTTGGTGCTTGGAACACAAGTTTTGATTGTACAAAACCCTACATGTTTATGGTTAGTTCAGTTGGTTCCCATTTTTTTTCATGGTAAACCTCAAAAAATCTGCCGCGTTTCGGCGGCACAGGACCTCTATGCCGACGAGACGGGATACGGGGCCTGCCCTGACAAGTCGATCTCTTGCCCAGGCATGACCGAGAGGGACGCGGCGCTGGAGGAATGCCTTCACGTGATCTCTGACACAGGCAGTGACGAGTCGATGGCGGAATGAATTCCATGGGTACGTATATGAAAAATCTGGCAATATTCCACCTGCATATACATACACACATACATACATATATATATATACATACATACACACACACATACACATACACACACATATATATATATACACTGTATATATGTGTATACGCATATACATCTACATATTTATATACATATACATATTTATATACATATACATCTATATACACATCTATACATAGATACACACAGCATATATGTATATATGCGAATGGGGATACACCCACAGTACAATCTGTATCCCCAAGTACATAGTCGTATAACCTCCAGCCAAGGGGCACGAATCATGATGCTCCTTTGGCTCAAGACCCCGAACTGCAGGTCCACAATAAAACAGAGCTATGCCGAAGCTGCCTTCCGCTTGACCATTGGAACTATCGAGCATTATCCAACGCTTAAGGATCAACAACAGCAATACCACAAGGTATCTGCGATTCACAGGTTATCAGCCGTAGGTCTCTCACAGAGCCTGCGAGCGGGTAACTGCGGACCTCACAATCAATGGCTGAAGAGGACAGTAGCGACAACGCATTCTCATTTGCTGGACATGCCGCCGCACCAGCTGCCGGCACGCAGTCAAATTCTTCACAGAGTTTCGATACTGGTGGAAGCGAAACCTCAGAACTGAGACCTAGCACATCCAGACGACCTCTGGTTGCCCCGAGAGGGAGATTAATGCCGACAATGCAAGCAATCGAAGACAGGGACAATACACCTGGAAAGAGGAGATCGTCCGCACGACAATCGTCGCCTCCGATGACTCCGAGGACTAAGGCGAAGCCTACATCTTCGAATCCGCCTTCACCGATTCAGGACGCTACACCATCAGGGGTAGGATCTTTTCAACAAGTGAATGCTCCATCAAGTGGTAGCGACGTCTTCACTGCATATCAAAGTGAACTGTCAGAGTACAAAGCATCACTGGACAGAGCTACTGAAGAAGAATCTGTGCTTCAAGCGAGATTGACTGAGATGGCCGCCTATGCCGATCAACAATTTAACTATTTGGAGAACACCACTCATCAAGAGATGACATCGATGGCTCAACAACTTCAGACCCTGAACTCTGAGTTGCTCGCCGCTCAACAGGAAGATGAAGGTGCAACTTACAGGATCGAAGAGTTGGAGAGGTATCGAACTATGTCAAATGAAGCAGCATCTCATCTGGAATTTCGATATTCACAATTGAGATCTGAATTTAATGAACAAATGGGACAAGCGAATGCAATCATGGTACATGTGGGCACGGATGCAAATGCACATATCAATCAACTCAGACTGGAACTGGAGAACGCAGAGATGAACGCGAAACAGGAAGCCCTAGCTGTCGGGTATGCCAATGACCAGACATGTGCACTTCATATTGAGATGCTCGAGGTTGCGAATCAAAACCAAATGATGAAGAGCACTATGTCATTGAACATCAGACGACTGGAAACGGAGCTTGATTCTGCTGATGCGAAGAGGGAAGACATCATGAGAGAATTTCGTAGTGACCTGAGATCCGAACACAACAGATATTCTGAATGTGAACACCGTCTGGCTTTGGAGGAATCACAACTTCAGCTACAGATTATCCGCAATGAAGGGCTACAATCGCAACTGGCCACATCTGAAAGCAGGTATTCTGAAGAGCTGACCTCTAAGGTGAGTGGGATGCGTGACATGAGGATCATGGAACTACGCTCTGAACTGCACATGAAACAAAGCCTCTTGAATCGAATGCAACAACAACTGACTGAATCGAAGAATCAGTATCATGAACTTTCATGCCAACAAGCCAGACAGTCATCTCCAAGTGTTTCTCCATCACATGGGATTTACTATGAGATGTACAATCAGGTACGATGTGACTATGAGAAGGTCATGAAATCCAAAGATGACGTCGACACTCTACTACAGAGAGCTAGAGCCGAACTCGCCGACAACGACGCACTGCTCAAGACCTATCAAAATTCATATGGCTCGTTTGGGAAGAAGTATCAAGATGCTTTGGAAAGGATCGATTTCCTGAATACCAATCCAAACACTTCCGGTGACATGTTCGATAAATTACACAATGAGATCAGTGACAGAGATGAAGCGATCAATCGACTCAACCCTGAAGTTGCAACTCAGAAGGAATATCATGATCGTGCTCAACGAGATGCCAACAAAGCTATCAGCATGTTGAATGATAGACGGCTCATCATCAAGGGAGCAACAGATTATTCTATTCCTGAGAGTCACCTGACAGAAATGCACCATCTGGTCAGTGAACGTCAAACAGAGGTGGACGAGATGTCGAGCACCATCGCTGCACTGAAACTTGAGAATCAGGCCGCTTCGTCTTCAGCACAGAACATGCAAGCAACAATGTATGGATCATCCAACAATGCTTTTCCTCGAAATGAATGTGAAGAGAAGTGTGCAAAATTGAAAGCTGAACTGGAAGAGATGAAACAGGAAAAGAAGTCGGAAGTCAACGCTCTTCGAGATGAACTAGCAAAGATGGAAGAACGTAAAGACTACTACAAGAACAACTTTTCCCAAGCCGAGGATCGCGCCAATGATGAGGAACAAGAGTTTCGTGCCGAAGCTGAAGCTTTCGAGAAACTCAGGAATGAGTACAACGCCAACGTCATTGAATTGGAGAACCTTGAGAAGGACAAGTCAAAATCTTCTGTCTCTCAACGGGAAGCAGAGAAGATCAATCTACAACCATGGCCTAAGACCACTGAACTTTCATCCTGGAAGGGAAGTGTTGTTCATGAAGTTTGCGTTGCAAGCGGAGATCGACATTATGAAGATTGGAAAGCATGGCTAGCCCCATGTCTCGCAGATCAACCAGACTTGGAAGCACTAGCCAAGGCACCTGAAGTGAGATTCCAATCCATAGATGCTAAGCTCTCCAATGCTTTGAGGAAAGTCATCGACAATGCTGGGGACAAGTCTATGCAAGTGAAGTATGACATGTCCATGAAGAACCAGATGTATGGGAAGAGTGGAGACTTCATTAAGGGACGAGAGCTATTCGCAATGATTTTGATAAGCTTCAAATCACCTGATCACACTGAAGTCCTCTACAACTCTCATCATTTGTACGTGTTCAGCTATTATGGAGATGACCAACTCGAGGCCTTCTACAACAAACGGCTTGACATTATATACAACATGAAGCATGATGACCGACCTTCTACAAACTCCCTGCGTGACACATTGTTCCGGAAGATTGAACATTCAAAGCTTATGCACTTCGATATCAGCCGATATCGCACCTTTGATGAAGGGCATCCTGAAAAGACCTATGACTTCCTATTAAATATGATCAAAGGATACATTGCTAGAGGGAAGCAAGAAAGACTGTTGAAAGACAGGGAGCGTGCAGTCAAGATGTCATTGACCTCCAACAAGACCACTCCAGCATTGGAAGATGACGTGAGGACTGCTGCCCCCACCAAGACGAAGAAGGAAGACGCTGCAGCCGCCTCATCTGCCGGTGATCCTCCCAAAGGGAAGCCCAAAGCCAAGGCAAAAAGTGAAGCTGCTTCTGTCCTTCCTACACCTTCTCCGAAGTCCCATGCCGACAAGAACAAGAAAGGCAAGGGCAAAGGGGGGAAAGGAAGATCATCATCACCCACTGACAAGAAGAAGATATTCTGCAATTACTTCCTCAATAAAGGTGGATGTAATAAAGGTGACAAGTGTCTCTACAGTCATTCCCAGAAAGTCTATGATGCCAAGATGAAAGACAAGAAAGGTAGAAGTCGAAGCAGAGACTCATCTGGAGGGAGGAGTAAGGGAAGTTCTTCATCAGCTGGACCCAAGAAGAGAGTATGCTGGCAGTGGCAGAAAGGTACCTGTACGTTTGGAAGCAAATGCAAGTTTCTGTATGCAGACCAATCCCCATCAGCATCCTCTGAAAGAGCCAGCAACAAAGACAAGAAGAAGAAAGCGGTTCCCATTACTATTGATTCCTTCTTTGATAGCGACACCGAAGATGCAAAGGATTATTCCTCGCCGAGGATAGCCAGCGCAAGGAAGTCTTCCGATGCTCGCAAGATCACGTTCGACCTGGAACCTGAAGTCCACAAGATTCCTATCAAGGACTACCCGGAGGGATTGCCCAAACGAATCTATCGTGATCCCAACAAGCCCTATGTGTTCAGGAAGATCGAAGACCTGATAGATGATCAGTCCAAATCTGACAGTACTCTTGGTCAAACTCGGGCAAGAGCCAAAGCTATCATCATGACCAACACCGGATTCCATCGCGACGTGGATGAGGTGAGAATTATTATCGGCCCGAGGTTCGATATGCTGATCAAATTGGACAATGACAACGAGGATTTAGTCTTCTTGGAAGAGCTTGTTGAGCACGAAGTTGAAGGATCCCTCAAGAAACCCAAGAATCTTATGTGCATTTCACTACCTGTACAAGCCAAAGATAGAGGATTCATTCTTGATTCCGGTAGCGGACATGATCTTATCTCTGCACGAAAAGCTGAAAGAATGAACTTGAAGAAAAGGATTTGTGATCCCATCATGTTCCACACTGCGAACAGTTCAACTGCTACTCAAACAGAAGCCGAGATTGACTTGGGAACCTTTGACGTGATCTCACAAGCCTACGTCCTTGATGATACTCCATCAGTGATGTCTCTTGGGAAACGATGTATGGAAGAGGGATGTGGCCTTCCGGTAAGATGCCATTCATGATCACAAAGAATGGGGAACGCATTGATCTGACGATCCACGACAACATCCCCTACATTGATCTTGAGACATACGAATGTACTCCATATGAATGCCATCAAACATCGAAGGTCCGTGATCTACTTGAACATTTCCAAGAAAGCAGCAATAACTTCGATGACTTAGATGAGATAGGCCGAACATCCCGAAGAGTATATCTTGATGGAGAAAGTGGATTCGAGGTATCAAATGATAGTCAAGATGATTCCCAACGCGTCAAGAAGCTCAAGGTGAAGAAGAAAAGGAAGGCAGGGAACCGACGAAGAAAGATGGCATCACCTGGAGAAGAAGTTCCATCTGATGATGAAGGATACGCACCTGGTACTCCATATGATGGCCCCCCAGGTGGTGAAGAAACTGACCTGGAGGATGAAGGACATGGAGCCCCTGAAGAAGTCGCTGAAGATGATGAAGACGACATCGAAATCGACGTTGTTGAAGGTGAATCCAGGGTAGCCAAGAGAGGAACACTCAAAAGGGAAGCAAACAGTTTGAACCACAAGTTGACTCACAGATACAAAAATCCATACTGTGATTCATGCATTCGCGCAAAGATGAAACACTTCAAGACTCGTAGAGGATCATACAAAAGGGAACTCAAGAAATTCGGCGACCTCATCACTTTCGATGCTGTCGATACATCCAAAATTCATGATGATGTATTGGTGCTGGAGAAGGAAGTGTTAGTCGTCAGAGACTGTTTTACAGGGATCATCGGTGCTTATCCGTCCGACAGAATGACCAAGGATGATGTAGTCAGAGCGGTGAAACAGTTCATCGGCGCAAAGAAGGTCAGACAGGCCTACTCTGATCATGCCCCACAATTCATTGAAGCAATGAATGAGATGAAGATTCCAATTGATCATTCACTGCCTGGAAGACCTCAGACAAATTCCATCGCCGAAAGAACGAATCAATTCATTCTGACCGCAACATCTACATGTTTGTTAGAAGCCGGATTACCACCATGTGTCTGGAGAACTGCAATCCTTTGTGCATGTCATCTACTCAACGTAGAGCCCAATGATGATGAACTCAGTGCTTGGTGTAAACTCCATGGGGCCGACTTTGCTGGAAAACTCATTCCCTATGGTGCTCGTGTGAACTACAAGCCTCCGAAGACAAGAGAAGCAGGTCAACTTCACAAATTTGGGCCTGATTCCATACCAGGAGTTTTCGCAGGATATCGCATTGGTCCAGGGATGCATTGGTCGAGGCAATACAAAGTCTGGCCATTGAGTGAGTTTGTACATCAGAATCTTGGTGATGATGCCAGCAAGCCAGAACATCGTCTTCTCAAACCTCATCTGACCGAGAAAGTTGAGATGGTCACGCCATTGACATTCCCATGCAAACAAGAATATGAGAGAATGAATACGACTTTGGAGGGAATGAAGGAAAAGGAACTCCTTGATGGTGACTCATCCAAAAGACCTCGTGACTATGATAATGAAGAAGATGAACAGGAAGAAGACGATGATGAGCTTGATGACGGAGACGACGGTGGACCTGGACCTAGTGGTGGAAAAGCCTCAAAGAAGCCTCTCGAAGCCTCTGAGGATATCTTCGATGACAAGGACCCAGAAGAGATGACTTTACAAGAACTCATAGATGCACAACCAGATCACTGGAAGTCAGGCAAAGCTGGGGACGGGAAGGTATACCTCAATGATGACGGCGAGAAGGTCAAATTGAATGTCAAAGGAAACCCTTACAAGATTGGAGAAGATGGTAGAAGACTCTTCAAAACGTCATTAAGACCTAAGGGCACCTATTCTCCAGAAGAATGGCGAAAGCTGTCTCAATCTGACCGAAACGTCATCCTCAAGGCCGAGAAGAAGAAGTTGGAAAAGAAGGAGGCCGATGAGAAGAACAAAAGAAAGATTGAGGAAGTGAAGAAGAAATCACTGAAGAAGGAGAAGAAAGATTCAAAGAAAGACAAAGGTATGTCAAAGTCCAAAGACGATGACGAGAAAGAAGATGAAGGTGGGCAGGACGATCCGCACTCAAAGTCGAAGAAATCCGATGCAGGTGTTGGTGAGGTGATGAAGAACAAAGTTACTTTGCCTATCACATGTACGAGTGCATATCTTGACATGTACGACATCGTTGATGACGATGACATCCATGGAAAACGTTACATTGATTGTCGGAAGATTGGAAGGAGTGCTGATGCAAGCCCATGTTCCGATGCTTCTACTGACGTCCCGGACGACGAGGAATATCTCACTGAATGGGACGAGTGGTCGGAGGTCGAGAAAGGGCGTGGCCCGAAAGCATCGTGGAGTGGTGAAGTTTGGAACACTTTGTCTGGTGTGATTTCGAAGTCTTCCACGGCAACGCCGGGTGAATCGACCATGATCAAGAATGGCAAGTGTGTCAACGTCAAGAGCATGAAGGACACAACCACTGACGATGATGGCGATTTCATAGCATTCCCTACTATGCCATGTACATCTGCACCCAGTAACATCCATCGAACCAAAGTACCTCCTGGAGGTCTGGGGGGAAAGCTCTTCAACGCCATGGTTTCACGACCAGTTGGCAGAGCAGAGATTGAATCCAATCCCAAAGCGAAGGAAGCAATGCTCAAGGAGTGGAAAGGACTCCGAGATCAAGAAGTGTTTGATTTCTCAATGGTCCGAGAGTATGATGACGTGGTTGCGGAAGTTCATATGGCTAGAGTTCATGGTATATGTGTCGAGAAGAATTACCAACTACCTGAAGGTAATCCTGGTCGAAAGTTCAAAGGGAGAGGTGTTCTACTGGGCAATCAAGTGAAGAACCAACATTGGGAAGCAGCGTTCTTTCAAGACTTAGGGAACTCCCCTGCATCCTTCGAAGCCTCACGATGGGCCGATTTCTTCGGATGTCTTCCTGGGCATTCTGTCAAGCTCGCAGATGCAATTCAAGCTTATATCCAGGCGAAGTTGAAGGGACCTCTATGTTGGGTGGAATTACCCACCGACGCTTGGCCACCCGAGATTCAATACTGGAAGTTTCGACGCCCTGTCGTAAGACTTGACAAAGCTCTATATGGACATCCCGATTCAGGCACGATGTGGGAACAACATTGTGATAAGAAGGTCCAAGAAATTGGTTTCAAACCCATCGGAGAGGAATGGCCGTCGATGTATTTTCATGATGAGCTCAGACTGTTATTGGAATATGTAGACGACCTTAAACTAGCTGGACCATCTGAAAACTTGGCCAAAGGTTGGGAAATGTTGCGTACAGTTTTGCGCATCGAACCCGAAACTGATTTAGGTCTTTATCTTGGATGTGTACTTTCCCAAGGCGAGACCCAACTCCACAATGGAAAGAAAGTCAAGACCATAACTTACAACATGGAAGGGTTGTTGAAGTTATCGGTAGAAAAGTATCTTGACATAATTGGTAAGGACACAAAACTGAAAAAGGTTTCGACTCCTAGCCTTCCAGAGGAAACGAAATACAGCCCATACCGAGCTCCTTCCGATGGAAGACGCAAAGTCGAGTGTCCGTGGTGTGCACATTCTTTCGATCCGGAGATGTCGGCTCTCAACGAGACCGACAACTCACGTCCTGGCCAAGACAGTGAGAAGCTGAATCGAGGGAATCTAGCTCCGCATGCAGCTAGTGTGCTTATGAAGCTGCTGTATGCAGCCCGCATTGCGCGGTTTGACCTTTTAAGATCCATCAATGCATTGGCACGCAATGTGACCAAGTGGACTAAGGATGATGACGCCCGTCTTCATCACTTAATGTGTTATGTTAATTCCACATTGTCCCTCAAAATGATAGGATGGGTCGGTGACAAAATTGAAGATCTATCGTTAGGACTCTTTGCAGATGCGGATTTCGCCG